TCGGCCTACCTGAGGCCGATCGAGCTCCTCTCGCTCCAGGTGACGGACGTGCTCGTGCCGACCAAGGGCAGCCCGTACTACGCGATTCACTTACATCGCGCGGAGCGGGGCCAGCCCAGCAAAGTTGGCCTGCACGACGAGACGCTGCTGTTGGACTCGTCGGCTCTCCCCGTTCCTCGGATACCTGCTGGACGCGCACCGGGGCGCGGCTGCAGGGCCAGCACTGTTCGACTTCGGCTACCGGAGCTTCAACGAGAGTTTCAAGACTGCTGCCAGGGCCGCAGGACTGGCCGCCCTCAAGCCCGACCTATACCAGTTGCGTCGCGGCGGGCCCTCGCACGACATCCTGAACCGTCTCCGCTCGAAGGCAGAGGTAAAGGACAGAGGTCGCTGGAGGGGCGATCGGTCGGTCCGACGCTACGAGGCGCACGGCCGGCTCCAGCTCCAAGAGAAGCTGGTCTCCGAGGCGACACAGAGCCGCGCCGCCGCGTGTCTGGTCAGCCTCGAGGCCCAGCTCCGGTCAGGCATGCCGCACTTCGCCCGATCCGCGCGCTCTTCGAGGGCCAGAAAATCGTCGAGATCTTCTCTGGTGAAGCCGGCTTCTCGAGGGCAGTTGCCGCCCAGGGGGTCGAAGCGGAAGCTTGGGGCGTGATCGACGGGCTCGGCGCGGATATACTGAGGACCGCCAACAGACGCAGGCTCGTCCGGGATTTTAAGTCGGGCAAAGCTCTTGCCCTGCTTGCTGTCCTCCCCTGCCAGACCTGGACCAGGGCCCGAAAAAGCGATGGTCCGGGACGATGGTGAACACCTCTGGGGTCTCCCGGAACTCTCAAAGAGGGATCGCGACAGGGTCCAGCTAGGCAACAGGCTTTGGGTCACCACCTTCCGCATGATCTGTCAGCTGGCCTCCATCGGGGTCCCCGTGGTGCTCGAGAACCCGCTTTCGTCCAGGGTCTGGCTTACCAAGCAGGTCACTCATCTTATGCGCAAGTTCGGGGCACGTCTGCTCGAGGCGCATTACTGTCAATATGGAACCCAGTGGAAAAAAAACCTACATGCTTCCTGGTTATCGAATGTAACTCGCTGATCGATTTCAAAAGATGTTCTGGGACAGGGGGGCGCTGTTCTTCTACAGGGCATAGACACATACAGCTCATGGGTAAGGACGCCGAGGGTAACTTCCGCACTAGAAGGGCTCAGGCCTATCCCGCCCCCCTGTGTAATTTTTTAGCTCGCTCCCTGGTCGCTGATTTAACTCAACAGTGTATGCGCAGCCTCGGGCCCCGTCTTTTGGGTCTAGATTAACAGTTGTTTTTAGACACTTCGTAGGGCACGCGTGAATGTGGGCATGGGAGTGATTTGATTGCTCGAACATTTCTCACGATCCCGCAACTCGTCGCCACTGGACTGCTGATGTGCACCGTTCGCCTCGTTGTGTGCCCAGGCGGAGAGCTCAGTAACATTGTGCACTGTGCTGCTGAAAAGATGGCAACTGTCTGCTTGCATATCTTGAGGCTTCGCCTTTGCACGTCCTGGCACGGGGTGTTGCGGAATCATTGTAAAGTTCACGAGCAATGATAAAGCTTGAAGGGAGCGCCGTATCATAATGTTACGGCTCAAGTCTCCCGCCCACGAACCACCCTCAACCTTGTGAAGCAGGGTTGCCTTTCAGTTGTTTCACAACTCTCGCTAAAGCGGCTGGGAGTGATTTGATTGCTCGAACATTTCTCACGATCCCGCAACTCGTCGCCACTGGACAGCTGATGTGTACTGTTTGCCTCGTTGTGTGCCCAGGCGGAGAGCTCAGTAACATTGTGCATTGTGCTGCTGAAAAGATGGCAACTGTCTGCTTGCATATCTTGAGGCTTCGCCTTTGCACGTCCTGGCACGGGATGTTGCGGGGTCATTTGCCTATCGGCCAACTCGTGAACTTGCGCGCGGTTGTCGACCGCGGCCATCGTCGCAGTGGTGATCGCCATGAAGTTGGGTTGTGGCCCTCCCCGCGGCCTGGCCAGGAGCTGCCCGTGGACGCGGACGACGACGCCAGCGACGATCATGTCGCTGGTGGCGGACGCGCGGTTCTCGACGTGATCGCGGCGATGGCGGCGACGCAGAGGGTCCTGGTCTTGGTCCGCGGCGCGGAGGTTGGGCCCCCCCCCCGGAAGCGCGACGCGTGGCAGACTGGTTCTGGCGACCAGTGGTCTACGGCAGGTCCACCGCCCATAGCGCCTCGGCATCGACGCGCTGCGCTTCCTCTACCGGCTGCCCCCCCCCCCCCCCCGTTTCCCAGCAACGCGGCGGCGCCTATTTCCTGCCCTTTCCGGTGACGATGCGGACGTTTCTCTTCTATGGTTTCGAGGTTGCACTCCTATGCTTGGGGGTTCCTTGCGACGGCGGCGGCGCCCCTGATTGCCGCGCTGGGCCCGATGGCCAATGTGCAGAGCATGGCGCAGCGCAGGTGCTTCAACGCGATTGCGCAGGCGAGCCGCTTCGCAGTCCAGATCCCAGTGGAGATCGCGAGCCAGGTCGGGGCTATCTCCGTTGGCTCCTTCGCGGCACGGGGCTGCGCGGCTTCGCAGTCGTTTTTACCGGAGATTCTCACATGGCGGGATCGCGGCCAGTCGTGGGCCCAAGGTTACATTTGTTGCAATGGCTGATGGACGAGTTTGGTCCTGCCCCTCCCGGTTCAGACCGCGTCGTCGAGCATTTGCTTGGGCGTCTTCGGGGCGCAGAGTTGCAGGCAACATTCATTGCTTTTTGCGGTGATGTGCCGGCGCGGTGCCGGACAGGCCTCGTCGCCGAGGTTCGCGCTGCGTTCGGGCAGGTCCATTGCGATTTACATGTGTTATTTCCCCTGCGCGCTGGTGATGATCCCATTCCTGCGTCTCCTGCTTCTGTGCACAAAAATGGAGATGTTGCTTCGCGCCCTAGCGATGCGGATCCTCTTCGGGTGGCGCGGGAGATCCTCTACGAGGACGATGGTGTGACTACTTGATGGGAATTTCGTCAGCACCGCGATTGGCCGCTCGAGTTGTTTGTTGATCGCTACGTCACGTTCCTTGATGGCCCCTGGATCGGGGGTGCTGGGGATTTCTAAGGAGTTCGCAACGCCAGCGTGATACGCCTGAATGTGTATACCGATGGCGACCACTTCGGGGTCTGACCCGAAGTTGTTCCGCGAGTGTTGGAAAACCTCCAGCGCGCCGTATTGGGACGTCATGTTGGGTGGAAAGAACTCCATAGAAACCGATATGGTTAGAGCCCGGTTCTTGGGTCTAAGATTATCGCCGGCATGTGGTCCTCGCTGGTATGATGTGGAGGATCCTGACATGATTGCCAGCATGTGATGGGCAGCTCTAAAGTTATCGTTTGCGTGACTTTCCCCGGCCTGTTCTTCGTGCGCCACGTCTGCTTATACTGGGTGGAGCGCGGGGCCTCGGACCCGTTTTCCTCGTGTCGTTCTGGCTCTGTTCGTTTTGTCGATTCGTTCTGTCGCCTCCCCTCTCGTGTCCTGTCCTCCTGCGTTGTCGTTTCTGCGCTATGGGGTTGTCGTTGCCTTCCCCTCGGCCTCGTCTTCCTCCTCTGTTCCCTCGTTCCCTCGTCGTCCTCCGTTCTCGGTATAAAAGAATCAAACCGACTCGGCGCCAGCTGGGGTGGGTGGGGGAAAAAGCATCAGCATCAGCATTACCATCAGCATCGCCGTCGTCACCTGTATCATCAGCATCAGCACCAGCAGCAACGTCATCATCATCATCGTCATCATCATCATCATCATCATCATCATCATCATCATCATCATCATCATCATCATCATCATCATCTTCATCTTCATCTTCATCTTCATCATCATCATCTCCATCACTACCACCATCATCACCATCATCAGCACCATCATCATCGCCATCATCCGTAAACATTTTGGTTCAAGGTTATTTTTTGCACCCCGGCTACGGAGCCCGCGCCCGAGCAGCACCCGAATATTGAGGAAGAGAAGATGGCCGCCCGACGCTCCAGCGCCCTGCTCGTCGTGGCCGCGTTTGCCTGCGCTGCCCTGGCGCTGCAGTGCGCGTTCGTGCCGCCTGCTGGCGACACTTCCCTCCGCGGCGCGACGCCATGGACCGACACGGCGCAGCTCGCAGCAGCTGGCGCGGCGATCGCCGTGCCCGAGGTCGTTCACGCGCGCCTGCCGGACGAGTTCGTGTGGGGCGCGCCGATCGTCGACGTGCTGCCCATCCTGCCGATATTTTTCTTCCTCCTGGCCTTCCTGTGGCAGGCCTCCGTCGGCTTCCGCTGAGCTGTAGCTGGGCCGTGGCGCGCGGGCCGTCAGCATGCGACGCGTGTGTTTGTATCGAATACAACAAATCATCATCATCGTCATCGTCATCGCCATCGTCCGCATGGCCTTCGCCGCTATTAACGAAACAGCGCCACTGGCGGAGCCGCTATGTGTAAAGGGGGGGGGTCACATACCCCCCCTGGTTCGCTGACCCCCCTTGTGCTAACCTGCTGTTTCGTCTGACACCAGGGGGGGAGAAGGCCCTCTTGCTCTTCTCCCCCCCTTTCTCACGAAGGGACATGCCACTGTCAAATGTGCAATGTTCCTCTCTTCCTCGTGTTCTCAGGATGCGGCGCACTTGTCACCTCACCTGCCCACCCTCGCGCGCCCCGTGCACCCTGTGTCGGCTGGGAGGAGATCGGGAACCAGTGGACGCGCGTCGACGGTTCTTCCTTAACCTCCGCTGGTGCGCGGGCAAAGTCCATGCCGATCACATCCACTACGTTTCGTCATCGGCTCTGGTTGGCCCGATCCCGTTCCACTCCCACGTTCGGGCGATCTGAAACGGCCCGATTGTTGAGTGGCGTTGTTGTGGATTTTGGCGCGGCCGATCCGATGTGATGCAGTCTCCGCGCCGATGCGGCCCGATCCGACGCACATTCCTATCCGATGCGATTTCCCGATCTGATGCCGGTCGATCCTGAGGGGGAGCGAGGGCCGTGAGGTAATGTGCGAGCACATGTTGTTCCTCGAGAGGGACAGGAAGAAGAGCGCCCAGATCAGAAAAGAGATCCAGAGGACCAGACCAGCGGCTGGCCCCCCCCCGCCCCAGCCTACGACTACAAAGGGTATGCTCACGCCGGGGTGCGGCTTGTGATCGGCGCCGCTTGGGCCCGGAGAGCACGAAGCTGTCCTCGTGCCTCCTGGAGGCGCGGCGGAGAGCTCCACCAGGGTCCCCGCCCGCCCCCCAGGGTGCCCCCCCCACGGTGCCGATTGCAGTCCACACTGTCCACACTGTTCGGAGTGGCCGACGCCCCGCGCTCGCCTCCTTGCTGCCTACGCGCCCCGGCGCCCCCGGCCACGCCGAGTGTTCGGGGAGGTCCAGCTCGGCTGGGCTGTGGGGACGGCGGTCCGAGGTGCCCGCCGGATCCTGGAGTCGCCGTTTTGGGCCTCCTTGTGCGGGCCCCAAGGATACACACCACCACCACCACCTCGATTCCTGCAGGGCGAGGAGCAGGATGGAGGAGGAGGAGGAGGAGGATGAGGAGGAGAAGGAGGAGGAGGAGAAGGAGAAGGAGGAGAAGGAGGAGGAGGAGACGTGATAGGGGATGAGGGGGGTGTAGACCAGTCGGTGCAGTCGGTATCCCTTCCTCTTCTTCCTCGTCCGTGCCATCATCCTGCTGCTGCTGGTCCTCGTCCACTTCTTGCTGCTTCCACTGCTTCTTCTCGTGCTACGCACCCTGCTCCCCAAACCCACATTCCTCCTATCTTCCTCTCTCTCTCTCTCGTTTTTGGGCCTCTGTCGGGGCCCTCGTCGTCACGGCTGGATCATTCTCGAAGTCCTGGGCCGAATATGCCTTCAGGAGAGATCCAGAGACCGGGTTTGAGGGAGCGAGGAAGAGGATTATTTGGGAAGCGGGGTCCTTCTTGGGCCATCGCTGGGCCCTCGGGAAGGCCCCCTGGCCCAACCTCAGGGGCTTGTCGGGCCGTCTTGGGGTGCAGAACCCCGAACTGGCGATCAGTTGAACACCACTCGAAAACCAAAAGAGAGTCGATGGTCGTGGCCTCTCGAGGCTCAACGGGTGAGTCTTTTGGGGCCTTCCTTGGGGGCCTTCTAGACATCTCGGGTCTTCTGGAGGCATCTTGGGCAGCTTGGCCGTCACGGCGGGAGAATTTGGAGGCTCCGAAGGCCAGAGGTGCGCTGGGGAGCTCGTCCCCCCGCATCCCCTCGAACGGGATTTGGGCCCCGAGGGAAGGGGTACAGGGGAGGCGGCGGGCAGCCAGATGCCTCACACGCCGTTTCACCCAAGCGGGGGTCGGCGGATTCCCCGTAGCACGTCCGACTCGCCCCTGCCCCCAGGATCCGGGAGCTGGGTATCGAGGGGGCCCCGGAGCCGCTAGCAAGCCAGGCCAACGAGCTGCTGAGCCAGCTCAGCAAGGGCAAGGGCGTGCATGAGCACGGGCCTCGGAGGAATTGGAGGGAGGGAGGGCACGGACGACCAGCAAGGGATACCAATATCCTCCCCTCCTCCTCCCCTTCCCTCCTCCCTCCCCCTTCCTTTCCACTCTTTCCTCTTCCTCCATCCTCTTCCCCCTCCTCTCCTCCTCTCTTTTTCCTCCTCATCCGCTGCACGTCCTCTTCTCTCCTCACCTAAGCCTGGAAATACATGGCACCGAAGACTCCTTGATACCAGCATAAAAGTAAGCCCCCCAGACAAGCTTATCCAGTCATACGTGGGAATATGTCCCCCTTGGGATATCACGCTCAGCGGGAAGAATCAACCGCATAAATGAGCACCCCGCAAGCCGAGGGTACGGCGGTGGGTCATCTCGACTACGCCGTCGGTCTTGTACAACAGCGCACAACAGCACGCAACCAAGAGCCAGCCTACACCATCCACCACGTAGTACTCAGCTCGCCCTGCACAAAGGAGAAGAGGAAAGCCAGGAACACCGCAGGGAGTCCAGCAGCACGCAGAAAGCAAGGGGTCCAGCTGAGGCCAAGAGGTGACACGTAGTCGGCAACACAGCGCATTCCCAGGAAGCCCGCGTACCGCCCAGATAACCCCATGGATAAGGCAAGAAAAGAAAGTCATGATCACATGCACCTTGGAGTACACCAAAATCCGCCGCATTGCGTGAAACACACGTCATGGCACGTCGGCACCCACTCAAAGAGCGGCACCCGCTCTGAAAAGCAATGACCTCCACCACACGGTTTGGAATGAACAACATGTTCAATCGGCCACCATGCAAAATTCCGATGCCCCCATGCAAGAATCCCGCGCTTGGGAACCACATTGGCTGCGTTTGGTCGCGATTATGGCACTTCACTGTACACGGTGTAGAAGCGGTCGAAGATGAACCCTGTAATCATACATCGCGATTCTCTCCCCATCCCTTAAAGGAACAGCCTCAGGGGGTGGAAGAACATGCCGGTGATCGTCATCATGGCACACACACATGCACACAAAGTTCGGGGTGTCCAAAAGGCACCCACGGGCGCCCGCCAACGGGACATCAGCGGAAACCCCGATACACCCATCCAGTTCTTTCAGTAAGCGAAGTAACAACCCCTAAACGCAAACACTGTTTGGGGATGACTTCTGTATGAGAAAGTGTGTACCCTGGCGAAGTGCCCAGCCATATGCAGTTGTGAGTGCCGCGGTTGTGAGCACCCCCGTCGTTGTAGCTCCCATGGGGCCACGAAGCGTGTACGGGGTGTGCCGTACTTGGCGAGACATGCCATGCGAACGCGCCCATTCGGGTTTTCGGTTGAGCTCCACCTGGGGCCACGAAGCGTGTGAGGGGCGTGCCGAAGCGGGCGGCGGTGGTGCACGCGGACGTAACCATTCTGGTATTCGGTGGGATTCTTCATAGGGCCACGAAGTGCGTGAGGGGTGCGCCGACATGGGCGACAGGAATACATGCGGGCGCTGCCGCTGGAGCCTTCGCTTAAGCTCCCTATGGGGCCACGGAGCGGGTGGGAGATGCGCCGAATAGGAGGCGTGGACGCAATACGGACCGTGCCGTTTGGGCTTTCCGTGGAGCCCTTTTATGGGGCCACGATCCGTGTGATGGGTGTGCCTCATTGGGGGGCGGGGTGGGTACGCCATGAGAGCCTTGCCATTGGAACCACTGGTGGTGCTCCCAATGAGGCCACGCAACGTGTGAGGGGTGTGCCGCATCGGTGGCGGGTGCACAACACGCTTGATGTTTGATAACTTGTCCATGCAAATACAATGCGTGGGACAAGCGGCGCCCGAAACTGGAAAGCATCATGGGGAGAGGAGGGTGGCATTCATGCTGGGAAAGGGGAAGGGGACCAGGAACGGGGCAGGCGCCAATGCGGGATCGCCTTCCAGGACGACCAACGCTGAAGACGATACCAATAGAAACGCAACGAAACGAAAGACCATGCCGAAGCCAGTCCGATCGGAAACGCATGCGATAACACCATGTGTGTGCGTGGAAAACAAAAACAGCACGTGGGACAGGCGGCGCGTGCGCTGGAGCGTATTAGAGGGGAGAGAGGGGAGCAGTATCACGCAATGGTTGAGGGGAAGGGGAGGAGGGGATAACGGGATGGAGCGGGAGAGGGAGGTGGAGGGTGAAGAAAGCGAGGGGAGAGGGGGGCAGGAGGGAAGGAGGGGGGAGTGGCAGGGAGGATGGCGGAGGAGGGAGGATGGCGTAGGAGGGAGGAAGGAGGATTATGGAAAAACGAGGGGAGGCAGGCAGGCAGGCTGGCAGGCAATGGGGGGGGGTAGGGGGGGGAGGGGACGGAAGGGAGAGGGACAGGGTGCGGTTGGTTCGCGTCGTGTCGAACGGCTGCGACCTCGCCGCTGGCGTTCAATGTTGGGCGCCGACGGCGACCCAGACTCGGTCGACGTTGAATGAACTGACGTTTCGGAAACGGCCAATCGTTCAAGGTTGAAAGATCCCCAGGGTGTCAGGAACCAACGCAGTGTCGACACGGCACGAACCTGCCGTGCAGCTCTGGCCAGGCCAGGACGACGCTGCTAACTGCGAGGATCTTCTGTCCAACCGCATTTTGCGACTCGCACTCGGAGGGAGCACTAGGCTTGTGGTCTCACAGATGCTCGTGCTTTGACCTGTGAGAAGGCTCAGGCCGTCAACAAAGGCAAGTACTGTGCTCTTGGCAAGGACAATTGTAGCGTGCCTTGTTGGCTCAGGTGCGTACAGTTGTGCGTAAGGTTCGTTCGTTTTCAGACTGCACGGCATGATTCACACAGCACGTGAAGCGTTGGCTCGAAATCGTCTCAGCCTCGCGTCGGGCCTTTGATTCGATTCGACTGGATCCGAGATGTGAGGTCTGAACTGGATGCTCGCCTGGTGTGTCACAGCGTATCATCCATTTCAGGGCACGAGTTTTCGAGTTCCTAGTGTACGGTCGACTCAAGAGGGCGATGCCTGGCCAGCGCAAATCATGTCACCATGCACACGGCCACTTGTATGCATGTGGGGAGCTATTTCGTTCGTTCGCAAGCCATGTCGCACGACACATCGGCTCAGCAGGGGAAAAGTGCATGCCGCGCAGGAGAAGCGGCAGTGAGAGATTGCACTGGACGATACAGACCTACTGTCCAGACATCGCATTGCGTCGCTGTTCAGCCCCCAGCTCCCACGCCGCCACCGTTCGCGGGTTGCAGCGGAGGCGCTACCCCGAGAGTCACTTGGTCGCGGAGTGCCAGAGAGGAAGGGATGCCAGGGCGTGGACTCCAAACATATTACTCCTTGAACACCTGCAGAAACCCGTGCGCACGAGACTCCCAATCCACGGCGCGTGTGGCCCCACGGTGTTCCAGCGCCCACTCCGCCATGGCCGTGGTGATGACGGCCAGACTTCGGCGCCGAAGCGAGAAAGCTTTGCGTCGCGCAACCGCTGTTTGGGAATTAGTCCTCGTTCCTCCCCTCCGCATACGGATTCCATTCGGGGAACGCCAGCTGGTCGCCGACTCCAATTGCCCAGGCCAATCCTGGGCCCGGGACCGTTGTAATCACCTCCAGGCGTAATCGCACAGCCAAGATTGGCCTGGCCAGGGTCAGTGTTGGTGCACCTCCTCCTCCTCATTACGCGATCCCTCCATCTCTAACGCTTGCACTTGGCCTGTGCGCCGGGACGTCAGGTACGAGCCCTCAGCCATGCTGAAGATGGGCTCCGTCTCCGAGGGCAGCCTCAGCGCTGTCAGCAGGACTCGCCGCGCAGGATAGAGCACGGATGGTGGTCCAGTTGACTCGGCAGGAGGGACCGTGGAGAACACAGCGCCGTTTGGGGTAACCCTCTGCCTTGCAGCTGATGTCAAAGAGAAGCTCCCTCCTGAGAATCGCCAGGGCTAAGAATCCGCATCTCTCCCTCCCTCTCCGTCCTCTCTCCTCCCCCTGCCTGGCTTGCACGGCAGGTTTGCGCGGACCTGAGGCCCAGCGTCATCAGCTACACGCGAGCAGCTGCGCCATTTCGCTCAGGGACGGCCTGGGAGAAGGACAAGCCCATGACTCCATCCACGCGGGCCCCGTTTGCGAACGGTCCTCCGCCCAGACAGTGATAGCCCCGTGATAGTCCTTCATTTGCCGATGAAGCAGAAACACCAGAAAGGTAAAGTTTCGAATGTCTGCGCGGATTTCTTTGATCGGTGCGCTGGCCCCCTCCCCAGGCGTCGCCAGATGCGCCGCCAGTGGCGCGCTCCGCGCGGCACTGGCTTCAAGCCACTCGCTCGTCTTATCACTTCACCTTCGGGGGGGTTCATGAATGCACCGACATGTCTTTATCCAAACTTGATCGGACCCCGAAGGAGCCACCCCTCTTGCGAAAGGGCGCGTAGAACATCATGAATCTCGCACCCCCTAGGTTGCCGTGGGCGCCACTTTCGCCTCCCGTAGAAAAAGGGCCCAAGCAGCGCACCCACGCGCAAACATGTAATCAGCACCCGATGTCTTTATTGGCCGACCACGTCGATGCATGAATTTCCGTAACATTAGAAAGGGCAAATCCATGCACCGATGCGGTTTGGGGGTTTTCTATGGACAGGGCGATGAGGTTGTCCGAATCTGACGTGCCTACCTGGCCCCCCGTCCACCGCGTGCGCGTGGTTACCTAGGCGGGTTCCCATCGCGGTGGCAGGCGCCAGGAATACCGGGAGCCGTTGATCATGTTTCTCATGCAGTTTGATGTGGAGTGTAAGCCACGATGGAATTGTATGACCATTTTGGCGAGTGTTGTTTATTTCCAGGCGATAACAGGCATTAAGTGGGGAGGGGGCAGGGGGTTGGTAAAGTGACGTTCTGCGCTGGCGCCGTCTTGGAATGTTTGGAAGTTACCAAAGACATCTCGGAGGTCAGCACGAATCGTAACGTGACCTGGTGGGAGGGGTAACAGCCGCTAGCCGCTATCGCGAAATATAAGTTTTCACGCTTCGCGTACCCCCACCAGACCATTCAGAAACCCCGCCCTTCAGAGCTGATGGGAAAATGGACGAGGAGATGCATCTAGGGAAACAAAGCGAGCAAGGGGGTGGCCCTGGAAGGCCTCTTCGGGCCATCCCTGGGTGCCGCGTGGGGGCGAGGGGAAGAGGAGGAGGAGGAGGACGACGAGGAGGACGAGGAGGACGAGGACGAGGAGGACGAGGACTAGGATGAAGACGACGCGGACGAAGACTCATGGAATCATCTAGAGGCATTATTGCGGCTTCTGCTGCTGCTGGTGTTCTCTGGGAGTTTTGGAGGCCTTCTTGGAACCCCCTTCGTAACCCTGGAAGGCTTCTGCTCCTTGGGATCATCTTGGAGGCCATCGATTACAGGATTTAGGGGTCCCCAACTCAGCCCCCCCCCTCAGGAGCCGGCAAACCGCTTCTTGGGGCTCTCTTGGAGCGTTCTTGGGCGCGTTTGGAACATTTTGGGAGCCCTCTTGAGCCAGCTTGGGCTATCTGAGCCATTTTGGAGGTCATCTTGGGCTTTCTGAGGCCGCTCGGGGGCCTCTTGGGGGCCTCTCGGGTGCCTCTTGGGGTCCTCTTGGGGCTCTCTTGGGGCTCTCTTGGGAGCCCTGGAGCCCCTCTTGGGGCCATCTTCGAGGCTATCGATCAAAAGAGGGAGGGTTCAGATCGAGGCCCCCCCCTCGGTGGCCACGATCCTTGTGAGAGGTGTCAAAAATTAGCCCTCCCAGGGGCCGAAACAGAACCCTCCAACCGACCGCGGTCCCTCCCGTCCAGGTCGAGGGGATGGAGTAGGGGGAGGGGTAAACCCCTCCCCGAAGGGGAAGAGGGGCTTTGGGAAGAGGGAAGAAAGACATCGTTAGACCACCAGCGCCGAGAGGGCTGGTTGGACATCTCGGCGTGGAAATCCTCAGATGTGCATACCATACTCTTGTCACTTGTCGCTGAAAAACTTTGTCTATGAACATGTGGGTATGAGAGCGAGTCCGCGCAAAGGACGGGAGCGGCAACGACGACGACGATGACGACAGCGATGATTTCAGTGACCTCCTCCTCCTCCTCCTCCTCCTCCTCCTCCTCCTCAACCTGGCATCCTTCAGGAGAGACGAGGAAAACACACGTGGAAGAGCGAGGGGTGTTCTTCTTGCCCCTCTCCCCGCGGCAACGCAGGCAAGCGCGCACGGCGTTGCTACACCCGGTCTCTGGCGTGCTACTCACCGCGCTTGTTGGCACTTGTGGTGCCCAAGTGCCACGCCAGTTGTTTCGCGTCAGCTGATCGCGTGTGAGTATTTGGGCGAATGTCTTTGAGCGAGGGTGATCGGAGGGTGAGCGAGTCGGAGTGTGAAAGGATTTGGGTATCATGAGCGCGATCGACTGCGAGTGGGTTTGGATATAAGTTGTCTGAGTACGAGTATGCCTGGGTAGGGGCGACTCTGCGTGTGAGCGAATCCAAGTGCGAGCTGGTCTGAGTGCGAGTGAGTCTAAGTGGCGCGGGTGAGTTCTGAGTTGGAACGTGATTTTTACATATTTGACCATGCGTGAGCGCGGGTGCGAGGTAGTCTGGGTGTGAGTGGGTATGAGGGCTGGCGAGTCAGAGTGCGAGTTATTCAGAGTGTGCGTTGGTATGGGTGCGAGTGAGTACGAATGCGAGTTGGTCTGAGCGCGTGGGAATCTGAGTGTGGGTGAGTGAGTTAAAGCGTGATGCATCTGAAGAAGAGTATGAATGGGCGCGGGATCGAGGCACTCTGAATATGAGCGATCCTGAGCGCGATCGAGTCCGAGTGTCAGTTCGTCTGGGTGTGACTGAGTCTGCGCTCGAGCGAACCTGAGTATGAGCGAGGAAGTACGCGTGGCCCGGAGCATGGTGGCTTGTGGATATGGGCGAATGTGAATGGGAGCTGCGAGTTAGAGTGAGGAAGAGGTTTATATGAGCGAACGAGTGCGTTTTAGAGAGGAAAACACGAAAAAAGGGTGAGGGACTGAGTGAGCGAGCGAGTACAGAGCACGCACGTCCCGCCACAATTCTGAGGGTGGGGGGGGAGGGGGAAACGCAGGCAAACCGCTTGATACTTCCTTATAATTTGAGCACGAATGGCGGCGTTTCCCAGCCCCTGGCGGCCCCGCCTTGGGGCGCCCACGTGCCAGGCCTGCAATCTAACCGTGGGCGTTGGATTTTAAAACCTGGCGTGCAGAAGCAGGCGATGCCTCAAACACCCCCACAATTTGGACGCGAACCTTGGAAAATCCCAACCCGTGGCGGTTCCCCCCTTGGGGTGCCCAAGTGCCACGCATATTGTATCGCGGCGAGCACTGGACACACAAAACGGCACCGGACAGACAAACCGTTAAACACTGGCAAACCGCTTGACACGCCCGCAGAGTCGGGACGCGATCCCTGGGGTGTTGCCACCCCTGGCGGTTCCGCCTTGGGGTGCCTAAGCGCCACGCTGGTTGTATCGCGGTGAGCATTGGACAATTACACGAAAAACTTGTGGGTGGGCAGAAGCAGGTACACCGCCCGAGACATCCCCACACGATGCGCCGAACACAGGGGACGCTGAGCATGCGCACGGGCTGACCGCCTACGATCCCCGCAAGCTGGGTGCGAACGTGCCCGTGTCATACCCCCTGGCGGTTCCCTTTTTTCCGTTGTTATAGCCAGTGCATTGCCAAAGCCATTCGCATATTTCGTTTTGAAAACAGAGGGTGTTGAACATGCGAACAGGCGAACCGCTCGAGATATCCTCGCAATGTTGGCGCGAACGGGCCGTTGTCATACCCCTCTGGCGGCCCCCCTCTTGGGGTGCTGACGCCAACGTTTCGCTCGAAACGTCGTCACAGTTTGCGTGTGTGCGTGAGTCCTTATGAGCACGCGTGCGTCCGAATGAAGAACAGGTGTGCCATAGTTAATGCGAAGGGAACAAGTGAGTTAGAATCTGATCGGGTGAGTTTGAGGGGGAAATGATGGAAACAGCGTGTTCTACCTCTGCTGGCGGAAAACCGGGGGGGGGGGGTCACTGGGGGTTCCCAGCCCGTCCCCCCCCTCCCCTCGAAAACTGGGGAGGGGTCACTATCGGTTCGAACCCGTCCCCCCCTCTCCGGTCCATCATGAAAAGAGGGGGGGTCCTACCGGTTCGGACCCCCCCCCTCGAAAACCGTGGGCCACTACCGGTTCGACCCCCCCCTTCGCCGCCGGCAAACGATTCCAGCTCCTCGGGACAGTTGGACAATGGTGGGGGTGTTGGGACAGTGGTGGGAACGGTGGTGGTGGGGCACTGGTGCGGACAGTGGTGGGGACGGTGGTGGTGGGGACAGCGGGGACAGGACCGCACGACAGTGGTGGGGACAGTGGGACAGTGGTGGGGACGGTAGTGGTGGGGACGATGACGACAGCGATGATTTCAGTGACCTCCTCCTCCTCCTCCTCCTCCTCCTCAACCTGGCATCTTTCAGGAGAGACGAGGAAAACACACCTGGAAGAGCGAGGGGTGTTCTTCTTGCCCCTCTCCCCGCGGCAACGCAGGCAAGCGCGCACGGCGTTGCTACACCCGGTCTCTGGCGTGCTACTCACCGCGCTTGTTGGCACTTGTGGTGCCCAAGTGCCACGCCAGTTGTTTCGCGTCAGCTGATCGCGTGTGAGTATTTGGGCGAATGGCTTTGAGCGAGGGTGATCGGAGGGTGAGCGAGTCGGAGTGTGAAAGGATTTTGGTATCATGAGCGCGATCGACTGCGAGTGGGTTTGGATATAAGTTGTCTGAGTACGAGTA